AATATTTCGAAATTTAAGGACGCTAATTTACTCAAAATTGATACACCCCGGCTTACCATCTAGCGGTAGCTTTCGGAAAGGTGAAAAAACATATATTTAATACTTGCGCCGGGTATTTAATGTTCGGCTCCACCCGAACTTAGACTTTCTTACTTGTTTCTTTTGTGTTTTATTTTTCGCTATGTGTATTTTGGCTCACCCTGGTGTTGATTTTTTAAAGTATGTAGTTACTTATTAACATTAATAGTACATACATACATGGCGTATGAGTAACATTCTTACCTAGTCATCATCTATATATTTACATATATAAAATAATAGCCGTTTTCGTTGTTCGGAGTTAACTCAAAAACTACTGCATAGATTTCAGTCAAATGTTCAAAGGTTATACCTTGCATATATAGTCCTATTATTCGATTATTATTATTATTATTCCTATTAGTCGAGTTATTTATAAAAATCGTATTTACGAACCGATTTCTTTTAAATTCACAACGTAAGCTACCAGCATTATGAAAAACACGTTTACCAAAAATAGACCCGCTATGTGGCGCGGGAGTCGCGTTATTTATAAAAGTCGTATTTATGAACCGATTTTTTTCAAATTCAAAAAGTATAGTTTCAGCATAATGAAAAAAACGTTCACCAAAAACGGAGCCGCTAGGTGGCGCGGGAGTCGAGTTATTTATAAAAGTCGTATTTATGAACCTATTTTGTTAATACACATTCGAAACGTTTATTACATTCATGATGATTATATTCAGCCTTATCATGAGTTTCATCTTCCATGAACCGGTTCACTTTTCACTTTTGGTTTACATGTATGTACTATGGGGGGAATCAAAATTTTCGCGTGAATTTTTTTCGGGCGAAACGCATGATAAGGAAGATTACATACATAAAATGATTGCCATTTCCGTTTTTCGGACTAAACTCAAAAACCACTCAATAGCGCCCAGTCAAAGCGTCGGAGGTCCTATTATAGGCTACTAGAAAATATGCTGGTGGCGCTGGAGTAGATTTACTTATAAAAGTCGTATTTATTAGAGATTTCGTTCAAATTCGCAGCGTGACTACCTGTATTATGAAAAATTCCTTTGCTACAAATGGACCCGCTAGAGTTTAGGTATTTAGAAAATCCGTACTTTTTATATAATCTGATCGGAATTCAAAATTCGTATTCATTTTATGACAAGTAAAGGTTTTGCGGAAAAGGGACCCAATGGATTACGCTGCACCCGAAATATATAGAAACCCCCACGGGGTTTGTTTATCTTAGACGAATTTACTTTTCAGATGGCTAAATCAAGGATGCATTTAGGTATGCATATAAAGACCGTAACACTGTGTAAGCGTAATCTTGCATCTACCTCCGATTGACGAAGTTGTTCCAGGCGGCCGTTATTACAGCAGTAAGACTCAAAGAAACCAATTCATAAATATTAAGACGAATGGTGAAAGTGGCGAATTGGCAAAGAAAGATTCGACCACATCTGTCGAAGAAGTAATACGATAGGTACATCAATGGCTGCATTTGAACGATATTCATGAGATCACACGACTCATTTAGCCAATGTACGCGAAAACTTTTCAACCTGTGGGGCAGCGAGGATTCTTAACCTTCCTATAATTGAAAACGCTCATCTGTGCTCTTCAGTTTCCGTATGACTTTTATTGGCTTATATGGTACACCGGACCAATGCTGAAGTCGCAGGATCATAGAAGAATATTGCGCACGCTTGGCAAAGACCTCACAGGCGGAAATAAGACCATAGGTAAAACGCATTACATCGAAAGGGATTGGTATTCCATATGGAATCACATCGCTACTATTCCTCTGTTTTTCGTTTCCGTTTGTCCGTTTTTTAGTCGTTTACATTTATACTAAAAATGTTTACTTTACAGACTGCTTTTGCTTTTAAACGCTATTTTTGAATTGGCCAACGCAAAAGATCTTATTAGGCGCCGCGAAGCAAACGGCCATTTGCTAGTATTTTATAAAA